ATAAAAGAGCAAAGTGTTATTCAAAGAGATGAGAAATAGCAAATTACAATTTTACAGCAGGACTTGCTCAACATAGTTACAAATGAGAGAGCACTAGAATTTACTGAAAAACCAAAATGTGAGAAATCTTGATGTGGTAACAGGAACATATACAGTTACAACACTGAAAACTAAAAATTTAACCCCCCAAAACCCAAAAGGGAGACAAATGCTTTGGTATCTATTTTATATAGGGAATTATATTATACCATCAGGAAAAAAGAGATATCAGGGTTTGTTTCCATCCTCTACTGATGTCTCCATTAATAAACACTCTCAGAAACAAGTGATCCCACCAAATGGCCATGGATCTAACAGAACAGTGATGTCTGTGTTCCCAAGGAACAATAATAGTACTGAGGGCAAAGGAGCTGCCTCTCATTGCCAGAAATGTGTAACGTCTGCCTATTGTGCCCTTGCTGATTCTTGACATGGCCATGCACACTAGAGCCACTGTTCAGAAACAACTTCCAAATATGCCAGTTCAGCTGGTGAAAAATATTATGTCTGAAAAACTCGGATCTGGTGAACTTTCACCAGAACTGAATTCCAGCTCTGATTGCCCTGGAAACACTGGGATGCTTAAGACACCTCATCTCAGGGCAGCTTTGTCCAAGGGGTTTGCTCAGTGCTGAGGCTCCTCTCAGTCTCTGCAGCACTTTCCAGGGCATCGACTTCAGTTTGACTCAGCAGCTGCAGGTTGGGTCAGATTGCTCCTCTCTGGAATTAATACTGGTTCATATCCAGCCCAGAACTTTGAGCTGAGTTTTCTTAGTTCCAGTGAGCATCTGTGCCATATGGTAGCTGTACCTGACTGTGGATTCCTAATTCCCCAAGGTGGGTGTCTCTTATGTGCCCTGACAAAGCGGCAGAGGGAGCTCAGGCAGTTCCAACCTATCCCAAAAGAAAGTGAACAGCGAATATACTTCAGTGTGATACACTGTATCACAGTCTGCTACCAAACACACAGATGTTCTCCAGTTTCATTGTGAAATGGAGCCAGACTGTCTCTACTCAGCTCCATTAACAGTTTCCCCCTGATCTTCCCCCCTGACCTCTGTGCTACATGAGGCTGAGAAACAGCAGCATTCATACATTTCATTAGGAGTTATGTGTGCTTGGTGCTTCTTGGACCCTCTTTTAACCTGCTTTAGAAGATATTTTGTGACCAAATTCCTTCCTCAATCCCAAGGTTTTACAAAATCCTAATGACAAATTTATACAGCCAGAGTCTATATCCTTAGTTTATGGGACATCATGGGAGTTAATCACAGAACCACTTAGGTTAAAAAAGACCCTTAAGATAATTGAGTTCAACCATTAACTCATTGCCAAGACCAAACTATGTCCCCAGGTGCCATGGCTACATGTCTTTTAAATACCTTCAGGAATGGTGACTCCACCACTCCCTTGGACAGCCTGTCCAAATGCTTGACAACCCTTCTGGCAAAGAAATTTTTCATAACATTGAATTTAAACCTTCCCTGGTGCAACTTGAGGCCACTTCCTCTTGTCCTGTCACTTGTTACTTGGGAAAAGAAGCTGACCTCCACCTGGTTACAACCTCATTTCAGGTCATTTTGGAGAGCAATAAGGTCTTCTCTGAGCCTCCTTTCCCCCAGGCTGAGCTCCCCCAGCTCTCTCAGCTGCTTCTCATCAGACTTGTACTCCAGAACCTTCCCCAGCTCTGTTGCCCTTCTCTGGACATGTTCTAGCACCTCAATGCCTTTTTATAGAAAGCATCAAGTACCTCCGCCTTTTCCTTATCCTTTGTCACTTATGTTTCCCTTAGCATCCAATAAAAGATGGAGATTCGTCTTAGGGATCCTTTTGTTATTAATTTATTTATAGAAACATTTTTTATTGTCTTTTACAAAAGTAGCCAAATTAGCTGGACTTTGGTCCAAATTAGAAATTTTTTCCCTGAATAACCTCACACCATCCTTGTGGTCCTCTGGAGTTGTCTTCCCCTTCTAACAAAGGTCATAAACCCTTTTTTTTTTCCCCTGAGTTCCAGCCAAATCTCTCTGTCAGACAGGCTCATCTTTCTCTCTCTGTCTTGTCTTTTGGCACATGGGGACAGTCTGCTCCTGTGCTGCTTCAAATTCCCTTCTTGAAGAATGTCCAGTCTTCCTGGACTCCTTTTCCCTTCAGGACTGCCTCCCAAGGGACTGTGTCCACCAGGCTCCTCATTTTGGGCCTTCTGTTCCCCTCAGAAGAGAGTCTCCTGTGACAATAACCCATCTTTATTTCCCTCTGTGGAAGCAGCTTTGAATCACAGCACAGGGTAGTTTACCCTTGGCAACACTTCCAACCTGGAGAAACCATTAACCTCAGCAGCACCTCCCACCCAGAGGAACCATCACGCTCACCATTGTTCAGTTCCACTTGCAGAGCCTCGTGCCTGTTGTGCTGGGGCACCTGGGGAGGTGGGGCAGTCATGAATGAGACCCCTCTGCTGTGCCAGGCAGGGCTTAGTGCCACTGCTCCCCCATCCTTTAAATCAGTTCAGCCAGGCAGAGGGAACAAGTAATCCTGTGTGTCATCTGTCCTGTCTACCTCTGGGCCTGTCCCAGGGAGGGCAGAGTGTGATTCCAGCAGTCTGTTTTTCTCTCAGACTCCCTGATAATCCTCAAGCTCCTCCCTCCTCCCGGAGCTCTGTCGCTGTCACTGGGGTGTCCCTCTGCCCAGCACACTCCCACAGGGATGTTCACTGGTCAAGCTGGCAAAGTCACAGCACCCTGCCACATAACCACCTTAATTAATCACAATAATTACTGTTTATTTTGGAGGGCCTTCTACTCCAGAATTTCCAAAATGTTTTTCTGGTGGTTTGATGGTCCTGCTCTGTGAGGTATTTGATACCTGTGACCATAGCAAGTCACTTTAACTTCCACATTGATAGAATGAGGTTAACAAGAACATCCCGTTTCACTGGCAGGAGAATTCAGGATTTTGAGATGTTCAAGCTTAGAAGAAGCTGTAGACCATATCTAAATAAAGTATCTAAATAAAGAGAATCATGGAGGAAATAAAGGTAGAGGAAAGCACCAGAGTGAAAAGCTTGTCTGTCCTCCTCATTTCCTGCCAGGCCACCCTGGTGGCACACCAGCCTGAGGCCACCCAGAGGCAAAGTGGAATTAGAGACTGTCTGCAGGCAAGGTTTCCATAGAAGTGTTTCTGGTAAATGCATTCAGACCAAGTAGTCATTGAGACTAAACACAAGCTTTGCTTTAGTTTTTTGCTTTCTCAACCTACCCAACCCAACATAGGCTTTCCTGTTGTTCCCTTAGTAACCAGTCCATATGTCAGGATACTTAAGATTATTATGTATGAGGTAAAAAAGTAGAGATTCAAACAGTAGTCCATGTCTACATCATTTGGTCAAGAAAGTCACAGAATTTTCTCAATTTCTTTTAATTCTTTTACATGCATGGGAGGAAGTATCTGTGGACTAAAAATCATGAAACTGTCATCTCTGCTGTAGATTTATTGTCTGGGTAGAGAAAGAGGCAATTACAGTTAAGGGAATGGTATGAAAACTAACTGCTTCTGAATATTTCTTTCCAATTTTAATCAATGTTAGATATAACAGCAGAAAAGTCAGTGTTATATTTAATGTCTAAGTTCATAACTCTGCAAATTATAAAGTTATTTTCAGGTAAAAGCATTGATAGGGAGCACATTCCACATTCAGGATGAATGGCTAAGATAAGATAGATATTCATGCTTGATCTTTCATGCGCTTGAATATGCAGGGAATGAAAACAGCATCACACTCCTCCAACTAGGTGGAAATAACACAGCCCTAATGTTGAATCAATTCACAGAATAAACCTTGTGAATAGTTGCTGAGGAAATCAATATGAGGAAACAGTGAACTGAACATCTATTCTGCAAATGGTCAAAAAAAAGAAAAAATAGATTGTGGCTGTCCTGGTTTTGATACCTCTGGAAAATCTAAACCTAAAACCTCCATCTACATTAACAAACTAATTAAGAACCAAGTGGGGAGATGGTGAAGAAAAAAACAAAGGAAAAAATTTAAAATAAAATAAAATAAAATAAAATAAAATAAAATAAAATAAAATAAAATAAAATAAAATAAAATAAAATAAAATAAAATAAAATAAAATAAAATAAAATAAAATAAAATAAAATAAAATAAAATAAAATAAAATAAAATAAAATAAAATAAAATAAAATAGAAGGATGATGGAGGAAAGCTGGGCAGCTACAGATAAGCAGTAGCAGTAGAGATGAGGGAAGTAGATGTTCAAAAGAAGAGGGTTCAAGGCAGCAGGTGTGGAATAAATCCAACATTTTTCTTTTTGATACAATATGGGAGTGCCAGCAGGAAGTACCCTGTAAGAGAAAAGTTTGTGAGATGAATGGGATGAGACCTCTGAGAAGGTGGAGGGACAAAAGTGCCAGAAATAGAGCCAAATGTGACTGATGCCTAGATTTTATGTCCTATATAGCACAACCCTTAAATTTCACCTGCTGCCCTCTCCCTTTTTGACAAATGGCAGATATCCCTGAGGTGATGCAGTCTTAAAGACCCAAAGAGCTGGAAAAATACCTTGGATACCTGTGATCTTGTTTGTGATAGAGGAAGGATTCCAGAGACAGCATGACCAAAAGAGGACAGGACAAAGATGGTTGAAAGGAGTGAGAGTATTCAGAGGTAATGGAAGGGGAGGGTCAGAAAAAAGAGAAATGTCACGGATGAGTCAAAAAAACAGAGTGTAAATAAAGGTTTGTGCTGATGAGAGGAGAAATGAGGCTGAGAAGGAGAGAAGGAATAAATGACTGTTCTAATGTGAATTAAGATGACGTCAGAAAGATCGTCTGTGTATTGATGCTTACACAGCAACCAGTTTATCCAGGCTTGAAGCAGATAATTGATACCATCCTTTGGGAGCTGCCGTTCATCAAAGCCCTTTAGTGTAACCCCAGAAACCACCAATCTCTCCTTGCCCTTAATTTGTTTTAATGGAACACTTTTCCTGCCTCTTCCTGTGTTTTTTAGCAACTCCTTGCAACCTTTCTTTATCCTCAGCACTTGAAGTAAGTGATAAGCTGCTGGTAGCCTTGCTTGTAATTTGCAGTTCATTAGAAGTTCATCCTGCAAGGGCAGCATTTGTGTGCAGGGTGAATTGTTGAGCAGATTGTTTGGTCTGAGCTTTGTCTCTGCCAGCCACTTTAAGGTGCCACCTAATCCTGATCAGTGAGCACTCACTGGGGTTTCTTGCTCTGCAGCTCTGGTGTCGGTGGTGATAAACATTAAAACAGGGAGAAACCCCAGGTATTACCTACAGAAAAAGCACAAAGTTCAACACAACATCACTGAGAAAAACAACGTGCAGCATAAGATGAGCAATAAAATTAAGAGATTTATATATGAAAACAGAGAAAAGCCCATCTCCACTGGGTAAAGTGCCCTAATCATATATACAGTGCCCTAACTATATATATATTGTATCAAATACACAGTGTCTTGATTGTATATATATATATTGTATCATATATACAGTGCCCTGATCATACATATACAGTGGCTTAATTGTATCCAGGCAGAAACCTAATACACTTCTCAGCCATTCTGGTTTCCACTGTTGCTCCCCAAACAACATCTTTAAGCACTGAAAAAAGGTGCCAGAAGGAACAGAGGCAGCTCCCTCACACCCTGAAAGAGACACAAGATTTGAGCCTGTCACATGGGAAATGTGTCCTCCAACACAGGATTTCTAGGAAAGCTGTGGCTCAGTAGAACAACTCCTTATCCATAATCTGTGCAACAGATGCACCAAGCAAAGCATCTCCTATATTGTCAGCTGTTGCTTCAGAGTCTTCAATCTCCCCAGTTTGCTCTTTTTTCTTTAATCTGCTAGATGGAGGTAATGAATATTTAAGTACTTGGTGTAAACCCGTCTGTCCTGGTGGAGTGGCTGGAGCTGCGCAGAGCAGCAGAGCTGAGGATCATTGTAATCTGCTCGATGGGTGGTTCTGCCTGTGGCCAAATGGATTCCATATGTGAGATCATCTGTCATGCAGAAGGCACCGTCATTAGCTCCCTTCCTAGGAAGTCCTTCTGCTCTCCTAGGTGAAATAGAATGTCACTGACCCAAACCTGTTGATTTGCTATGATGGTGCCATTATGGAATGAGCTCTTTGGTGACTTAAAATTCAAGTACTGCTAGTAATTTTTCTGGACTTCAGGTAAAGAATGTTGCTATTTTATTAATTTTATGTTTGATGCAATTTTAAGACTTTGCATGGAGATCATTGCAGTGTCTGGATATCTTTGAAAAACCTCATCTTGGGTGAGGAGAGTAGGCTAGATTAAATATATGCCATACCTGTGCTTTTAATTTTAGGCTTACATCATTACCAAAGAGCAAGAAGCTGATATTCTGCAGATCTGTGTAATATGCTGGACAGTCTATAGAAGCCAGCATTTTCATCCTCATTTCTCTTTTTGTAAGGAAGGCAAGTTCTCCTGCCCAGAGCTGCTCAGACAATTGTGAGAGTGGGCAAGGTGTCTATGGAAAAGGAGATTGTAAACTGCTTTTCATGTTCCCTGGGAGTGGGTCAGGTATAATGATTTTAAACTGAAAGTGAAGGCTTAATTTAGAGATGGCAGAACCTTGTTTGCTAGAGAGGTCAGTGGATATGTGTCTGGGAGGACTGAAAACTTTGGCACTGGTACTTTGTCCAATCTGTCTCTCATCTCCCTGGGATTAATTGGGGACTACTTTGCCTGGATCTTTTAACAGTCAGGTTTTCAACTCTGCTTTCCACTGTTATTTAGCAGCAGATGTTCAGATTCTGATTTTCCAAAGCAACCCAGTTGTTATTAGGTATAATTAACACCAACATCCTTAATCCATAAGCCTCTTTTAGGTTGGACTCAGTCCCATTCTGTTTACAAAATAAAACCTTCATGTGAAGATCACCTCTTAAAAATGCAATTAGCAATGCCAGCTCTTATGTTCTCCCTTTGAGGGGAAAGCAAGGAATATTACTAGGACATGTAGCTGTTTCTCTAACAGCAGCACAACCTAGCTCTTAAGAGCTCCCCGAATTTATAGTGCTGAATTAATTCATTATTTATCTGTCTATCTAAACTCAAGTCTTCATTAAAGTGATTAATATTACTCAGAACTAACAGTTTATGGATCATTGTCTGTAATCAGGTTGTGGTACTTGAACAAGATCCCCATTTCCTGTGGTTGACAATGGATTATTCATGTAGGATGTGCAGCATAACTGAGTTAAGGTTATGAGGGCAAACACACCTTCTGGAATTTTCCCAAGCTGAGTCACATAGCTTGGTAAAGATAATATTTCATAATTTAGGAATATTTTTAAACCTTTGTTTGTTTTAAACAAACACCACGGTCATGCATTCTGAAGAACAACGATAGGAGTAGCTGGTTCACACTAGGATCTGGTTAAATAAATTGGAAGTGCATTGGAGTGTTTGGGAGGTTTCAGTTCTAAAGCTATTTCAAGAAACCCATGAGGATTTCACTAAAAATCTGCAGCTGCAGTATGTGCAGGCAAACAGGATGCTGTTCTATCACCAAAGGAATAACAAACAATTCCAAAAGACGGGATAATTTAGTTAAATATAGCACTTGAAAAAATATACCAAGAATTCGTATCTTTTGTGATCATTGTACCTTTTCTATGCAGTGGATAGGAGGAAAATCCTCAATCTTCTAATGACTGCAAATGGTGATCCCATAAGAGAAATGAAAATTTGGAAATAATAGGCCAAAGGATGGAATGGTGAGCACAGGCTGATGGAAATGACCTGAAAGGAAAATAGCACCTGAATATCTGAGATCATTGCTTTGTCTGCTTCCCAGACCAGGTCCTTGAGGTCTGTGCTGTTTTCACCTGCGGCAATTTTCTTTATAATAGCAATTATGGGGCTGTGTTTTGGATTTGTGATGAAAACAGTCTTGACAATTCAGGGATGTTTTCATTATTGATGAGCAGAGTCAAGACCTTTTCTGCTTCTTATCCCAACAAACAGTGAGTGAGCTGGGGTATACAGACAGAGCTGGGAGGGGACACAGGTGGGACAGCTGACCCAGAGTGACCCAAGGGACATCCCATAGCATAGGATATCATTCTCAGCAAGCTGGGAGAAGAAGGAACAGGGGAGCATTCAGAGTAGTAGTGTTTAACTTCCCAAGCCACTGTTACATGTGCTGGAGCCCAGCTTTCCTGGGCATGGCCAAACACCTGCCCGTGGGAAGTGGGGGATTAATTACTTTTTTTTTTTTTTTTTTTTTTTTTTTTTATTTGCTTTGCTTTGCTTTGCATGTACAGCTTATGTTTCCCCTATTAAACTGTCTCTGTCTCAACATACAAGTTTTCTAAGTTTTCTCACTTTTCCAGTTCTCTCCCCCATCCCACCAGGGAGGAGTGCGTGAGAGGCTGTGTAGGGTTGAGTTACTGGCTGGGATTAAATCATGACAAGGTTTTAAATGCACAGCAACACAGAAAAAATGTGCAATACTCTGACCACTGTGAAGGTGCTGATGGTCAGTGCATTCCCTGATTTCATGCAGCCCAAGAACCAGTTGTTGTCTCTAAGATTCCTGCTCTGATATCAGCCAAAGCAGATGCTTCAGAAAGAGAGTAAAAAGCAGACTCCCATTTTGCAATTGTGCAGTTCAGGGACTTCCTGAAAAGGTGGACTTGGTATATTAATAACCCTCAATCTCTCTCTTCCTTGAAGAGCCTGATTGAAAGGGTGCTTTTGAAGCCACATCAGCTTTTAGTTCCCACAACACACTGTGGCAGGAAGTTCCAAAGTTTAACTACAGGCCTGAAGAGTCATTTCCTTCCGTTTTCTTTGAACTTGTCCTCTCTCACTTAAAACCACTGCTTCCTTCTTCTTTTATTGGAAAGTGCAATGCAAAATCAATCTCTTCACCTTCTCCATGATGTTCATGATGTTATAGATTGTCTTGGTCATCTCTTAAATTGAAGAAATAACTTATTTAGCTCTCCCTTACATTGAGTAGTTATGTATTTATTAACATTTTAATCCTCTAAATCCTTTTTCATCTATGGTTTCCTTTTCAAGCAAGAGGACCAGAGCTGCAAACAGGATTCAAGCTAGAAGAGCCATAGATTTTATTATTATTAATATTATTATTATTATTATTATTATTATTATTATTATTATTATTATTATTAATAATAATAATAATAATAATAATAATAATAATAATAATAATAATAATGTTTATTTATTTGCTTGTTTATTTATTTAGCAAAACATTCTGTTTTGAGCTCTCTCCCATTTTTTTCTTTATTGACTTCTTAGCTGATATTTTCATGGAACTATATGTTACAGCCCCAACTTTTCCCTCTTGGCCAGCTCAGAGCCACATGTCAGCTGAGGGCTGCTTTTCCCCTTGGGCATCATTTCTCTGTCGAGTCACTGAGATTCTGCAATTCTTCCCAATTTTTAATCATCTTTAATACCCAGAGGACTTTTGTATCATGACTAAACCTTGTCACTTCACTGTTTACTCCCTTCCAGTTCATGAATGAGTTTGTAAGCAAACAGCACGTACCTCCAGGGAACACCACTGCTGATCAACTCCTACCACAAGACCTGACCATGAGCTCCCACTCTCTGTTTCCTGTTTTTTTAATTCATTCCTTTTTTATTCATCCAGGGACCTTTCCATTTACGCCTTGACTTTCCTTAAAAGCCTTTGGTGAGAGATGCTGTTTGCAGCTCTCAGGAAATACAGGCTGGTTATATCAACAGGATATCCTTTATCCAAAGGCTTGTTGACACCTTCAGAGAACTCCAGGGACTATGGCAGGACTTCCCTTTATAAAATCCATTCCGACTTCCACAGGACATCACAATTACCTCTGCATCCAATAATTCCTTTTTTTTTTAATTTTTTTTTTTCTGCTTCCTACAAAGCAGCAGCACAATACCAACCTGCTTTTCAGCTTCTTAAGCTGTTGAGGAGCTGACAGCTCATGTTAAAAGGGCTGGGACTAAGGTACTCCCACTGGATCTGTATTTTCCAGACTGACTTTCAGGTGCTGGAAGTGCAGGAGTTGGAATATTTTTTCCTGGGTTTCCTCTTAGTGTTTATTCTTGGTTTTAGTCAGATATAGAAATGAGTGTACAACATTCAGAGAGCATCATGGTTTCCCCATGTCAGGATTCCTCTACCTACCCCAAAATCTTATATGCAAAATTCCCTGCTGTAGTCAGTCCTTTCCACATTGTCAGAACTGAAAGACGAGCACTCACTTCCCTTTGTTTATACCTCCAAGGGGCAAGAAATGCCTCTTTCTCACCATGTCCCCTAAAAACCTAGGGGTGGGGAGTCCTGCCAACGAGGGGAGGAAACACCAGACAAGTTGGTTACTGGCAGCTGCTGGTTGCAGTCAGTCCCCAGGGAATGAGGTTATTTAGAGTGTGCTGGAATGAGTCTGTGGAGTGAATCAGGAGCACGGTCACAGCTCCCAGACAGACAAACCTCTCCCTCTCTTTTCAGAGGTAATTTCATGCAGGTGACAGTCTGGTTTCATCAAATAAGCCTGCATTAATTATTTCCTGATCATACACATGGTGATTTTTGGTTTTGAGGGTGCATATTCATCGATCAATTTATCTGCATTGATTGCTTGGCTAAACCATCTTAGCAGTCTCATACTGTCCTTCTTCTTAGGATGGTGTGGTTGATGACTTCTTTAAATATTGGAAAATACTGAAAGCAAAATAAATGATGGAGAAAGAGCAGCTGCTAAACAGCTCAGAAAGGTCATTTCCTCAAAAATAAACCAGAGGAAGGTAAACAAGCATGCTCCCTTCCCATGAGGAGTACATCTCATCCCTCTTTAAGTTTGAGCAATTTTTGAATGAAGGGAAACCAGCACTTTTGAGATTTGCATTGACTGCAGAGATCTTTCTGGACCCCTGAGCTGCCCAAGGAATGTATTGCTGTGAGCCTTTTCCCAAAATCCATTCCTACATATTGTGCTGAGCTCCCAACACAATGCTGACCTGCCTGGGAAGCTTGAAGAGGTGTAAAGATTTTAGTAGACAGCAGCAGGAACCAGCTGCCACACTGCAGAGTGACTCATGCTAGGGAGGTCTACTGGCAGGAACACAGATGTGCAGGAAGCAAACCTTGGTCAGGCTGAGTAATCCAGGTGAGCACAAACACAGCACCTGAAGGCACTTACGTGCTGGGTGTAATGCACTGGGCTGTGCAACCTCTGTGTCCTTGGAGAGATGATCTTGGGGTCTATGTTATGGCTGCCCAGCCCTGTGACTGTGAACCACTGTCTACTGTCATGGAGAAGAGCTCCCACCTGCCTGCACTAAGGGAATCACATCCTCCTTATCTGTCATTCCTTCTATTATTCTCCCAGCCCAGGGGTGCTCTGATTACCAATTCAAGAATCCTCTGGTTTGTCCCAAAGGTTGCTGAGATCAGGGCAGACATGGGAGGTTGAGCGGGAGATGGGATATGAAGGCTGGCAAACCTCAGGATACACTTTATTACTTATTTCATTCCCTTAAGAAGGGCAAAGGTAGCCTGAATACCATCTGATTTACCATCCCTTGAAGAAGAGAAGAGACGGCATTTGTTGAAACAAATTATTTTTGAAACAAATTGTTTTTGAAATAAATACCTCACTTCTCACACTGGAACTGAAGGGCAGCTGCTACAGGATACGCAGCTCCATAGGAGTTATGTACTGCCAAGAAGGATGTCCGGCTCCCTGATGCTGTCCCTAACCTCAGCATGCATCCCACAACTTCCCTTTCTCCTCACTGCTATGTCCCTGACCCACACTGTGCCAGACCAGGGAGCTAAACCAGCACAGACCCCTCCAGGTTTTGTGCCACAGGTTTTTTGCTGGTGCAGCCCAGCACCAGCATGCAGCAGGATCAACACATAGAACTTAGTGAAAATATGCAGCCTGGTGAGCCTGACCATCCTTTCCAACAACACCTACTAGCTAATTAGGATCACAAATACGATTAAGTCTCACTCTCAGCCTCCTAATACCACTACCATGCAGAAAACAGCAGTGGATGCCAGGGAAGAAGCAGGGCTGTAAAGGGAAAGAACAGGCACTCATGAATGACTGTGAGAATTAATTTTCACCATAAAATATGGCTCATAATATGAAATGTCTGTGAACCATCTTGCAACCTTGTCCTCTAGCATTTAATTTTAAAAGTATTAGTTATGGCTTGACATCACCTGAAAGCAGGCAAATGCCTGGCTGCACAGCCTGACAGGCAGAGCTGCAACCAAGGGAACCTGCAATCCTATTAAGGCGTGAGGGCACAAGGACCACCATGGAGAAAACAGAAAATGAAGGGCATCAGGTGAAACTCCTGATGGCAACAGGTACCAGCGTGTGCCTTAGTCATGGGCACAGTGTAGTAGTTTGCTAGACAGGAAGGAGGGAGAACTGCCCTTGTCTGGAAGTGAAGGGACAAGGGGAATATCTGCTTGAAAGTTTTCTGGAAGCTTTTCCTATCACTTCAGCCCATGGAGACAAGCGGAGAAAAGGCAGTTGTTAGAGAGGAATCCGAAGGAGAAGGGTCTGCAGGGCTCTCCTGGCTCCCAGCAATGCCTTGTGCTGCTGCAGGCATCAATGCAGAAAACAAAGCATGCCAAATCAGTGTGCAAACCAGGAGGTAACAGGGACACATCTGCTGCCTGAAAAACTGACCTGGAGGGACAGGGAGGGATGTGAGCAGCTGGATGTGTGAGCACATATCATATTGATTAGTGACCGGGCTCCTGGAACCGTCACAGCTGCAGCACCAATTACTGAGAGGCACTTCAATGAAGAGAAAACCCAGTAACGACACCTCTGGAAATAATGGTTATTTCTGAACTGCTGCTGAAACAAAGTTATATTGTTTGCATAAATTACCTTGGCCCAAAGCCAAAAGTTCATGAGCTGCCAAGGACAAAGCCACAGGTGTGTTCACAAGAACTTGCCGGTCTCACAGATCCCATCCTGGACAGGAAAGGTGTAAAGAAAAGCCAGGGTGTGAGAAGAAGGTGCACTAGGTGACCTGCTCCCTTTGGGCATTGTGCAGAGCCAGGGTCTTTGTGTGATCACAAGAAACACCTCCAGGGGAGCAACATGGCCTAATGCTGTGTGTAATAGACATTGTGCATCCTTTACATGCAGCCCATTCCATCAGTGGTGTTATTATGCTCCAAGCAGTACAGCAGGAGACCACTCACTGCAGAAACACTTTGACATCCAAATCATCCCACAAAATAGGAGGCTTGCTGTCATTTTCAGACACTAAAATTCCACTCAACCCCCTAACCCATGTTTAAAGATAAATGATTCAGGTATCTCCTGTCTACTATTAGATTTAGGAATAATATCTGCTGCGCACTTGCATCATCCCCAAGGTGTATGTGCTTTTCATAGTCACCCAGTTCTGGCTCTTAAGCTGTTATGTACTGACATCCTATAAACTGAACCCAGAAGTGTTTACTGGACTGAAAAAGACATCACCAGATGGCTCCAATATCAGCCTAGAAGGATTTCTGTTCTTCAACAGGCACTAAATGTGTCTGAAAAACCAGCAGGCTGCAGAGCGTCTGCATAGTCAAATCACTTCTAAGAGGCTTTGTAATTGCATTCAGTTCTGCTGTGCTGGAAAATGAGGATAATAAGCTCAATGTATTACAGTTACACTGGGGCTAAACTCCATATAGAGTGGAAATAAGAAACATGGGCTGAGGTTTTAACTGCAGTTAGTGGGGCTCAGAACTTTGCTTAGTGCAAAAGGAGATGCCAAGTTTCCTTAGCTCCCTTGAGAGTTACAGCCATGAGCTCTTAAGTTCCCAGAAGTCCCCAGAGATGGAGGGTCACCTGTTTCAGACAGAATCATAGGCTTATAGAATGGTTTGGGTGGATACTCAGTTTTTCAAATCACTAATGGTTTTGTCTTGATTTGCCTCATTTTCATTTCTAGCTTTCATTTTACAGCTCTCTGCTGATGAACTGCACTGAGGAGTTTACTAAGTTTTCCACACTATTCCCAGAAGTCTTGAACACTTTTTCATGAACATCTCTGTGCATCAAGTTCTTTTCAACAAAACCTAAAAAAGACCTTCTACTATTTTCAGTCTGTTTTTACTGCACTGGAGATGGAGATCTGGGTGGATAAGTCACTAGGAAATAAGTGAGTGAGTATGTTAGTGAGTGAATAGATATGTCACTCCAGCGAGTTTTACTTTAAAGGAGTCTTTTCCCTTTATGCCATAGGCTGGCAAACACTTTCTCTTGCTGCTGTGTCAATTTGAGCAATCCCAACATCTCCTGCTGCCCACTCAGTTGTGTCAGTACAACATTCCATGGGCTGCCCAATAAATCCTGCAGGGATCGATCTGGGATAATAATAACCTGACCAAACATGACTCTCTTTTTTTCTTAAGCCCTTTTAACCCTCATTGACTCTACTTAGCTCAGTGCTGCCACTGAAAAATTGCACACCAGGCTGCACCAAGAGCAGAGGGGAATAAATCTGAAAGTTATCAAATTACCTTAGTGAGTCAAACAGCCACATCATGGTATGGAAATTCAGTCTCCTGTTTTCATTTACTGCCAATCTAGGGTCAGAGAATCTGCAGCCCTACAAACTTTCACTCTGGTTCTAACTCTGTTCCAGGCACAGCCTGTTTTTATGTGCCACAGAGCCATCAGCAAAACTGGTCCCACCATGGAAGCAAAAGCCCAGGGAGAGATGCTGAAACCCTTCTGCAGCTCCTGGGGAGAGCGAGGCATTTTGTACAGACAACATTACACACCAAACACCAGCCCAGGGCTTGTGTGGAATGAACCAACAGGAAACACAAAACCCATGGCTGCATCAGAACATCATTTATGTCCCTTCCCATCCAACCCATTTATGATGCTAAGACCTCACCTCTGGGCAGCACATGTGCTACAAAATGGGCCCCTCCTGTCAGCCTGGCTTTCAAAGCTGCTTTCTGGGGCCCAGCACTGTGAGGAGGAGTGCAGTGTTCACCAAAGCCATCCTTAGCTGGTTTGTCACCCTAAGTGCCCTCTCTACTTTCAGTTAGGTACATTCAGAGGAATTTTGCAGAAGACTTTTCAGATTAGGCAATGACACTTGGGATATGATTCATCTCACCTCACTTCAGCAGCTCACAAAATGCAGGGCTGGGATGCAGTTGGCCATCTGGCTACCAGACCCCCAGTGCCATATGGGCTACTCTGTGTCACCCCAGACATCAATCAGGTGTGACACTGAACACACAGGAGACCCACATATTCTGCAGTGACAACCAGCAGAGTTTTTGTCACCTTTGCTGAGGCACTTTATGTCATTCAAGACATCCACATCTAAGCTAAACTAATGGTCTGGGTGCTCATGAAATATAGATGTGGTCCAGTCATCAGCATTAAGTATAGAGTGTTGTTCACCCAAACCATGCTGGTGTCTTCTTCAGGATGTTCAACTGACATGTGCCTCTCACTGTACTGATTGCAAAAGGGACCAGGGTGAGTTCTCAGGACCCACCCTGTAGATCCACATTTAGTCAGATGGATCCTGGCACTGGAATAGGCCCTTCAGGGCAGTGGCCACAGTACCAAGTCTGCCAGTGCTTACACAGTTTTTGGAAAATGCTCTTAGGTACAAGGTGTGATTTTTGGGGCTATTCTGTGCAGACACAGGACTTGGAGTTCAATGATACTTGTGGATCCCTTCCTGTCCAGGATATTGTACAATTCCATGATTTTATGGTCTCATGTCCAGGAGTTTTCAGGATGTGGTAGCTGCTTAGGCAGGGTTGGCTGGACTGCAACTCTATCAAGATCATTGCCTTTGCCAAGAAGAATTTTCTGACTTGATCTTTGAACCTCTCAGGACATAGACTGTCACCTGCTGTGATGGCAATAAAAATTCATGTGACTTGTAGGGGTCTTCAAATCAGTTGGCAAAGCTCACTACAAAGACAGTGCCTTGTTCTAAATAGTTGATTGAACTGGTTTGCAAGTTACTGGTTCCAGTGCAGGGCCCTCTGTGGCCTTTGCTCCTTGGATGTCAGGGGAGAAGGTCATCTTGTCTGTTTAAATCTGTTGGTGGTGGCTGTTACCTGACCACTGCCGGTCCAGTGCTCCCAGAATTGTTATGACATGGGCCACAATAGATCAGGGTTCCTTCACACAGCCTTGGCTAGGAGCTCCAGCAAAGCCTGCAGAGAAAGCCTATGGTGCAGGAGCCACTTCTGACTCAAAACTCAGAGTTCTGTCCAAGTTTGGCAGTTGTGCTCTCTGGGGTTTTCACCTCTTCACATCTTCTATGCTCATTTTCTCATCTGCACAGTGTAAAACACCATAGGATCTCCCAGTGCTCAGAACTGGGATGATCTTTCCATCACAGTTACCTGGAGTTGCATTCCAGCCACCAGTTTGTCACTGGAAAGTTTTCTGCCATGCTGTTCTCTGATGCCTCATATTCCCTTCAAGCTTGTGGGATGTTTCTGTACAGCACAGGCTGTAAGTCCCTGCCCAACATGGATTATTATTACACTGCCTGCATCATTCGTTTGTGTGGCTCATTCGAGACAAATCAAATAACCGGGTACTGCCTCATGCTGCAGCTTAAATTAGAAAGAATAGACCACAAAAACAACTGCAGCAGTAGCAGAGGTGGCTAAAAATAAAGCAAAATGTTTCTCTTAGAAACCTTTGTGCCACAGAGGGAAATTGTAAAAGTGGTCCAGGATATTTTTGTTGCTGCTTTTTAATTTGAAATTTCATCATTGGAAGAGCTTGCAGACGTAGAGGGTTGTGAAATGTTTTCGTTGCAGTACAGCAATTGCTAAGATTAGCACGGTAACAGATCTTTTCAGAGTAAACTGCATATAACTAATAGGAAGCAGGAGGAAAAAAGGAATAATTGTATTTAATCCAAATGCAAATTCAGTTCTCCCAGAAGGTGGAATAAGCACTAAGGCCATGCTGAAGACAGGCCTATTGCTCTATTCCTTTCTATTCTGTTCAGCTGGGTAGTGAGCAATGATTATGTGCCCCTATTGCAAATTCTCATTTCCAATTTGTTTCAGCAAAGTACAGGGATGTTCAAGATGGAATTTCTTTTAGGCCTTTCCTAGCAACGGTGGAGTTCATTGGTTTGTGCTTCTGGCTTGTCTCCCATCCAATGTCAAAACAAGTTAACGCATTAAAACAATATTTCCCTATGAAAGAGCTATAAAAAAAATCTGTGCATCACAACTTACATTTTGGCCAAACCCTTTTGAAGTTCATGGCTAATAGGGGACCTAGGTGCCCAGCAGGTTGAGGGAGGTGATTCTTCCCCTCTCTTCTGCCCTTGTGAGACCCCACCTGGGACACTGCATCCAGCTCTGGGGTCATCAACAAAGGAGATCCTGACCTGTTGGAGCAAGTCCAGAGGGGTCCACAAAAATGATCAGAGGGCTGGAGCCTCTCTGCTCTGGAGACAGGATGAGAGAGAGGGAGTTGTTCAGCCTGGAGAGAGATGGTTCTGGGGACACCTTAGAGCCCTTCCAGTACCTAAAGGGAACTTATAAAAGAGAGGGAGAGAGACTTTTTTTTACACAGGCAGGTAGTGATAGTACAAAGGGGAAGGTCTTTAAATGAAAAGTAGAGACATTTAGATTAGATGCTGGGAAGAAATTCTTTACTGACATTGGCATAGGTTGCCCAGAGAAAGTGTGGATGCCCCTTCCCCAGAAGTGTTCAAGGCCAGGTTGGATGGGGCTTGAAGCAACCTGGGATAGTTGAAGGTGTCCCTGCCCATGGCAGTGGGGCTGGAACAAGACGGTCTGTAAGTTCCCTTCCAACTCAAAGCATTTGATGATCCTATGACCTGTGCTGAAGCTTCATGGCACATTGCATGATGAGCTTCCATCTTTCCTCCCCCTGAAGCACCCAAATTTCCCAGTGGATCATTGTGTGCAGCAATATGGAGGGACAGGTCCACACAGCTGCCTCACTCAGTGCATCTCAGCTCT